TGGAACTGTGTTGGCATGACCATACACTGCTAGAGTTCTGGTTGAGCCAGCAGGAGTCAGCCAGCATTCAAGTTGTGTATGGCTAGCTCAAAGCCCAACTCTGGGAAACCTAAAAATGATCCCTTGTAGAGTAGCTGCTCCTGCACTGTAAGGGTTAATTGCTCGTATTAGTCTAGAAAACTTGCTATATTAGATTTACTTACCCTACCCAATGCTGCTAGACTGGTCCTCAAAGCATTTTCACCCCTACACTCCCGCGGTCTAGGGACTTGACATTGTGCAGTGCAGGGTCCATATCCTTGGAATGAACGTGATGGTGCAGAGGGATAGTCCCTCGCTGGAGCGTGGGGAAGAGCCATCTGCCATGGAAAAAAAAAAAAGGATAAGGTAGTTTAAGGTGCTTCTCCTGTCCTTTGCACCAAAAGAGTAGTTAACGCTTGCAGTGCAGGTGTGGCCCTACTGCAAGAGACCATTTTTAAATTTCCCGGAGTTGGGCTTTAAGGCTTTCATTAGATATTTGTGATCACTTTTATGGATGTTGGAAAAAAAGCTGCCTTGTTGGTTGAAGCAGCTTTGCATAGGGGGTTAATCATCTCCCTCTCCTTGCAAATGAATTCATTAATGTATTTCTGTGCCGTGTGCATCGTGACCTATGCGAACATCTCTGCAAACTAGTGTGTGACCGATTTCTCTCATCCCGACTCGGTAGCAAATTCATTTCACAAACGACGGCTCTAGAAAATACAATTACCTAAGATACACAATGAGAAAAACATACACTCCGAATGTGAATTGCGCCCTGCGCGTCTAGTGTGGGAGGACTGAAATTCATCTGCAGAGATTTGTATTTTAATCAGGAGCGTTAGATAAAATCAGAGCATGCAGACAATATGGAAATGTGATGAAAATTGGCGATATGGCGGATTAGACTTCGAACACTGGGCTGAGACATCTTGCAGACTAGGAAGGTGTAATGTGGAATGGAAGATGTGCTGTGAGATGAATGAAAAGTGTTATCTCTCTTCTGCTTTGCTGGCTACAGATCTCTGCAGTATCTCCACAGGACACACCTCCGGTGCAGTGCAGACTGGGAGCAGCTGTTTGAATAAATGTGTCATGAATACGGGCATCATACTTTACATTCACATATGAATGTACTGTACGCTCTATTTAACCTTATTAACACATTATGAAGCATTCCAAAAGGCTGATCCTCGGTACTCATAAATATTACTTAGTTTGCTGCAGATGATAAGCAGAAGCAGCCATAGAAATTAGATCCAACTGCAGTTTTATTTTCTGTATCTTCCCTTTTTTTAAGCATAGCTCATATTAAAGCGATATTACACCCTCAATTTTTTAAAACAATTTCAGCAACTGATTTAATAATTTAATGAGAGTGCAATTTGTTTGGCTTTTAGTCCTTGCCTATGTTCCTGATTAAGATGGTGCCATGATTATTGTCCCAGGTTTCCAGCTTCAGGGTGGCTCTTTTCTTTTGCAGTGTCCAATGAAGCCACACTTGTATGCAGGGATTAGAGTTGTGTCTCTCTACACCAGCTTTTCTCAAAATTTTCAACACAGAGGGACCTTTAAAACAACTTTCCAGACTCAAGGAACCCCTGCTAAAAGTTGCTATATCTACAACTCATGATATATGAACGTGATGGTTAGAGGGAAAAATGCTCCTTACTCTTGTAGTTGTTGGGAAGAATTACCCCTTACAGATAGCTAAAAACAATCAATGGTGTCAGTGGAAACTTATTTGAGACACAGAAATTGCTCCAACCTCTGGAGGAACCCTAGTTGAGAAACCCTGCTCAAAGAACCCCTAGAAACCTCTAGAGAAACCCTAAGGTTCTGTGTAATCCTGGTTTGTAAACATTTCTCAAGGAATTCTTAGCAGCTTCTCGAGGAACTCTAAGGTTACATGGAACCCTGGTTGAGAAACCTGATCGGCACTGTGTAGACACATGAAGGCAGGACCTGGTCAAGGTACCTGCTCTGGAAGGACCACACGCACACTGGGTCTTAGCACTGTAGCAGTTTTATAGTAACAGCTCAGAATTGTAACACTTACAATGGGCATGGCGTGGCACACTGGAGAGCAAGATAGTGTCAGTATAGACCACTTGATATGGGTTACTGTAATGTTTTTGGAGGATGGTCTCTGCTGGAGGGGTGGCAGTATTCATTATAACCACACCACACTACACTAGCCCATGGTAGTATTTTCAGAAGGTTCTTCAGCACCAAGCAGTGTCCCTCACCCCTTACTCACCAGGAACCTTTTCCTGTGCTAAGCACTATCCCTATCTGGCAGTCTCTCCCTAACCTACCACTCATTCCAAATATGATGGAATGATGCAGGATTCATTATTTATACAATCCTGCAGGTATGTAGGCCTTCAGATTTGTGTGCATTTACGTATACACGTGTACTGCCATAAACTGCCACTGATTTGTACAATATGATTGGTGGTGCCTGTATGGTGAACCTGTAGTCCTTCGAGGTTAAAATATGGCTTTTATTGTACTCTAGGCAGCCTTGTACATAATCTATATTATTTTTTTTCTTTTTGCTTTTGGCTAGTGTATTTTTTTTTTTGGGGGGGGGGGGGGGGGGGGTTAAACAGACTTCAGTGAGTTCATTACTTTCTGAGTCACAGACCTTAAACAAGTATACAGGTCAGGAGTTAATCTGTTATCCTGATTTCTAGTCTGCATGCTTGTTACAGGTCAGTGATTCAGAAAGGATTGAAGTGAAAGACATCCAGTCAACTAGAATTCTTTGAAGGAGGGCAGCAACCAAAGCTGCTTTTTTTCTCTCACTACATGTCTCCTTTAAGAGTGTGGGCTACTTTTCTAAGTATGTCCAAATGTGCTCATACCTTTGTTTTAAGCTCTGTATATATAGCATTGAAATAAATAGGTCATCAAAGTATTGGAAAAGTAGAAACAGAAAGTAGCTCCTATTGAAACTATTTACTTAGTGCAGGTATTTATATAGTGCCAACAATTCATACAGCGCTTTAGATATATTGTAAATTCTCATTAGTCCCTGCCTTCCAGCTTACAATCTAAGGTCCCTATCTCACATGTCCACTAAAACTGGCCATACATGGATCAAAATTTGGTCAGTTCAGCAGAGACAGGCCAAATTTCGTTACATGTATGGGCACTATAGTTATACAGAAGTCAATTTACCGATCAACTTCTGTACAACTGTTCTTTTGGGTTTTCCCTGTGTGATCAGCACAGCAGGCTATAGCTGGCAGTGCTGAACAGTGTATTCTGATTACAGTGGGAAACGCTGTCAGAATACAATAGCTAAGCTGGAGAATTCCCCCATTTACCTCAAATGTGTGAATGGGAGAACTGAGTCTGTATTTTTTTCATTCAACCCACTGGTTGAACAAAAAAAAAAGTGACTCATGTATGGGCTGTCTTACATGTATTAGATCCAATTTACCTACCAACATATCTGATGTGTGGGAGGAAACCCATGCAAGCACAAGGAGAACATACAAATTCCAACCAGGTGGTGACATGGTTGGTATCATTGCTTTTGTATTGCCTATTGATTATTAAATCATTGCTGTACTCAGCTATCATATGTTTGACTTTTTTAGCTATCATACTTTGATATTATGTTTGCATATATCTTTCAGCCAATTAGAATATTCAAATACATAAAAAGGAATTAATTTGAGGGTGAAGGCTAACTACCTTACGTAGTTAGAGATAATACCACTAGTGAGGAGTTGCAAACACCATAAAGGACACCTTCTTGCTATGTCCCAGACAGTAACAGATTATCTACTAATCCATAAATGTGACTGTACTTGATTCAAGTGGACTGTTCTCCGCACCTGTCTGAGTAAATAACTATGCATGCGGCAACAAGATTTGATCTGTCAAATTGCACAAAGGCCAATTCATGATATCAACAAGGTATACATATGCAACTATACAGATATTGATAAGCACTCTCCAGTGCCTCAAGGGTTGGGGATGCCAGGAAGAGGCCAGGGATTTCAGTGTGCTGATAGTCTGTAAATAAATTCTCAGTGGTGCAGCCCTCCTTAGACTGGGAAATCATCAAAACTGGAAAAGAAGCACACAGGTGGTGCAAACACCTAGCGCATTATCCAAGGTTTATTTTGAAAGAAAAAAGACAAACAACATACAAAATGAAGAGAATGTAAAAGCCTAAATGCTTCAATGATGGCTTACAATGATGGCAAAGTGTCCGACTGGTGGTACGGTCAGCCTGTTGATGCATTTCGGGGATGAGTCCTCTTCCTCAAAGTATGCTTTTTGTCTTTTTTCTTTCAAAATAAACATTGGATAATGTGCTAGGTGTTTGTGCCTCCTATACAGATATTGAGGTCCAAGTATATAGTCTCTTCAGCGCTGTAGTTCAGTTTAGTACTTCTCGATGGCAGAACCTCCAGAGTTTCATTTTCATTGTAACTACTTTGGCTACAGAAAATATTAGAACTTTTTAAACTTAAATCCTTTATTGGATAATAGCAAGGTGACAATATAGGGTAAGAGACTTTGCAGGGTGGAGTTAAAATTGAACTCCAGGCAGATAGAAGAACATGTCATGTCTATTTATTGTTACATATGACTCATGTACATCCTTGACATCCTTGTCATAATGTCAACTGCTGTCACCACCGGCACTGCAGCAACCAGCCTGAGTAGGGAAGATGTACTAGGAGTCTGAGCAACCAGCCTGAGTAGGGAAGATGTACAGAGCAGAGCTGATGACTTGCTTGCTGTTCCTTAAAGCATATCTAAAACCAAAACATATAGTAATATATATAATATATGTGATATAGTGCAGCTCACCAATCCTAAATATGGTGGCTGGATTAAGGTTTTATGCATGCTGGCTTTTTTTCTTTATTTTCACCTGGCGATCCGGCCTGAAACAGACTTCCTATCTCAGGGTGTCTCCACTTTATGGAGGTGCAATAGAGCCAAACTTAGACAGCAGCATTGTCAACTTAGAGAAGGGTAGTGTTAGATGATCTAGCAAATTTAGATGGATGTGACCAGGGGCGGACTGACAACTCATGGGGCCCCTGGGCAATAGGAGATCATGGGGACCTGGGTCCTTGCCCACACTCAAAGCACACCCAAAAAAGCCTATAAAAATGTACCAGGAGCATTTCATGGGGCCCCCTACTGACCCCGGGCCCTCGAGCAGTGACCAAGTGCTCGAATGGTCAGTCCGCCCCTGGATGTGACTAACTATTTCATTTCTATTTTGGTGGCAGTAAAAGGACTATGTCAATTGTAGCGGGGGGGGGGGGGGGGGGTTGCATATACTCCCAGCAGGAACTGTCAGCTGTCAGAAGGAAATGATGTGCTAGCTGTGTAGCCGCTGGATTCCTTACGCACACCTTGGTAATGGCCGAGCAACCCCCCCACCTGTCCCTGCACCCATTGATACACTGGCATAGTGGGTGCTGCCAGGTATAGGGGAGGGAGGACCAGGCAACATCCATTAACTGATTTCCCCGTTCTGTTACTGAACCAGAAGCAACTTTTAAAACGTCACTTCCGGTTCACCAGCCAGTATGGTGGTAAAAGAATGCAGTGTGATCTGTACTGCATTAGTTTTATTGGATGACAGTTGAGACATCAGGGGTCTTCTAGACCTCTGATGTCTCATTAAAGAGAACCTGTCACCAAAAAATGTATCACATAGTGTACGTTTTGTGCCCTATGTGATGAAAAATGTAAAAAAAAAAAAAAAGAGAGAAAAAAGTGTTGTAAAAAAAATAAAGTACACATAAGCACTTAAAATCTCCCACACAAAAATTTTGAGCTCCCCCCACCCTGACATACATGCACATACAGACCCATAAGAGCACCTACACACAAAAATGTTGATTGAGCTAAGCATGTTACATATAATCATGCACACCAGAGTGAAAGTAATAAATCTAGGTCCAATATCGATGATTAACTCTAAACTGATGACCTGAAGAAGCTTTTAAAGCATTGCCTATGGAAAACAGAGGGTACCAAAGTTTGGCACTGTTTAATGGGCTTGTGAAATTTTAAGGCTAGACATATTGGTATCTATTTACTCGGAAGATCCTCATCTTTTTTTATTTTATTAAAATGGGGTATTATATTGTGTTTATGTGCCCTAAAATTCACTTTAGTGAATTTATTACTGAAATTTAGCATTTTATAAACTGGTGTGCTTATACTGTGTGACATCATTTGAGCTATAATTATTTTATTCTCTAGAGAGCCTGCTTCAGAAAATATTTAGTGGTTGGGAATTTTACATAAGCTTCAGGCCTAATTTTTTTTTTTATAAATGTGTGCAAAAAAGTGCCAAAAGCAGCTCTGACAGCAAAAGGGTTAAAGCAAAACTCCAGCTAATACGTTTTGAACAGTTATAGCAACAACTTTTTTTTTTCCCTTTTAGGATAAAGGTTTTACATAAATGATTAAAAGCTGACCCTGTCAGTGGTAAATGGTTTGTCTCAACCTTCAAACTGCTACTTTTTATGGACATCTTGGTCTGTTAAACAACGTTGAAAGACAACAGATTTGCTGGACAGGTCTCCAGGTGAAAATAATAAAGCCTAACAAACAATTCAGCCACCACAATTAGACCCCATTCACACCTGAGCCTTTTTCAGCTTTTATGCCTAACCACGTCTGACTGTGCTTGATGTGTGGAATCGTGCAATGTATTAAAGCAGCCCATTCATTTGGAAGGGCTAACTAATGCAAGGTCACTACAGGTCAACGGGACCCCCATGGGATAGTACAAAGCCGGTTGTTCATTAAAATAGTTATGTTGCTATTGGCTGTAGCAGGGGATTCTCCCCTTACAACAAGCCATAATTGGTCTGTACATTTTGTCTCACGCTTTTGCCCCTATATGTACCGCTGCCTGCTTCTGTGAGGTGCCCCAGTTCCTCTGGACTGGACCGGGGCCCCCATCCACCACCACCACCCCATTTTATTTTGTTAACAGTCATGGTGTTGTGTTCAGGGTTTGGTCGTCCAGTATATCTGGATAGACCACATGACTGTATTGATAATTGTTAGTTTGCTTTCAGCCAGGATGGCTAGATATTTTTCTTTAATATGTCATTTAAGGTTACCTTTGATTAACACCATGGCCAAGTAAATATCCAATAAACATTTAAGAGTTAAATTTCTTGGTGTGTGTTTTTTTATTTCATGAATGTACAGTTGGCTCCTTTGTGCTATCCCGTGCACCAAAACGCATCAAAATAGGTGAATGTATAATTTTTGTCAGTGCACCGCAATGCACGTCAGTCAGTCCATCGGCAAGGTGCTCTGGGGTACATGGCATTACACCAATACACGTGAAGTGCATTACTCTCCTTTTAACACAGTACATTAAGCCCAAGGTTTCACGCAACACTATCTAAAGATTCAAAATTTCTAAATCACTTATCAGCAGACTGCGTTTGTCATTCCTTGTTAAGATGTTTGAAATATTATTTGTCCCATCTGTGAGAGTGGGATGCCAGTGCTTAGACATATAACACTTGGGAAGCAAGCCAAGTATTACAAGTGATCAGGGGGAGGATTAGTTCCCTGGCCACCTTCATGACAGATTTAAAGAACGTGTAGACTAAAAATTGCTAAGAATGTGGAGTCTAATGTGGACACCAGCCGTGAGACTTCATTTTAGAAAGTAGCAAACGCTGATTGTGGGCGCAAAGTTGTTATCCTCACAGCAGAGTTTGGAGAGATTAAAGGTTCAAGAGCTGTGATACAGGGAGGCTGGTGAGCACTGGGGAAATATAGAGAATGGAAGGAATAAGAGCATCTACACTTTATTATTTTATCAGCATGCTTAGACTTTTCTTCCTTCTGTATGTCTGTATGAGTATATTAACCACTTTCCTGCTGCCCTATAGCAGAAATGCTACTACAGGGCAGCAGGGCTGTGCAAAGTGACGTATATATACAATATTTTCATTTCCAGGTAGGGGGAGTGTGCGCCACCCTACCCGTGCCACTATTTGATGCTGGACATGTCAATCACCGGTGATTGTCGGCAGAGCTGACGGGGAGAGAGACCTGTCAGCAAGGACAGGACATGCTGCTTTGTATTCCTCTGCACAACAGAGAAATACAAAGCAGCATGTCTCTGTAGTAAAACACAACACAGCACACGGTTAACCCTTTGATTGCCCCAGATGTTAACCCCTTCCTGCCCAGTGACATTAGTACAATGTCAGTGCTTTTATTAGCACTCATCACTGTATTAGTGTCACTGAGGATGTCAGTGGCAGTTAGTCAGTTCCCACCCAGTGTCAGAATGCCTGTTGCAGTCCCGCTATAAGTCGCTGATCGCCGCCATTACTAGTATAAAAAAAATTAAATAAAAATTCCAGTATATATACCTCCATTTGTAAACGATATACTTTCACGTAAATAATTATTATATACTTATTGGACTTTTTTTTTTAGCAAAGACATGTAGAAGAATACATTTTGGCCTAGATTTTTTAAAAAAAAATTGTTTTTTAAATTTTTTTACTGGATGTGTTTTATAGCAAAAAGAAAAAAAATATTGGTTATTGTCGGTCTGTTTTTGTTTATACCACAAAAATTAAAAAAAAAAGGCACAGGTGTTCAAATACCACCAAAAGAAAGCTCTATTTGTGGGAAAAAATTACATAAGTTTCAGTTATGTACAGCATTGCATGACCGCGCAATTGTCAGTTAAAGTAACGCATCGTCGTATCGCAAAAAATGGCCTGGTCAGGAAGGAGGGTAACTCCTCTGGAGGGTAAGTGGTTGAAGTTAAACTCCAGACAGATATAAAAATCCACTTTGAAATCCGGTTATGTATTCATCACAAGTAATTGTAATTAAATGTGTTTTGAAATACAGCTAGCATATCAACCAAGATCTGTCTGTATATTAGCATCATGTCAAACCAGAAGAGGTAAATGCAGTATTGTGTGCTGTCAGACTAAAACATAAAGCTTGCTGAAAGGGAAAGGGGGTTAGTAGAGAGTATATGTATGTATGAATGTAAGTTAGGGACCTTAGATTGTACACTCCTTGAGGGCAGGGACTGATGTGAATGTACAATATATTTAAAGCGCTGAGTAAATTGACAGCGGTACATAAGTCCCTAAATAAGCCTCATCAATGTGGAGATTCTCTGTTCATGTACAAACCCCCAGCTTGGTCGGGGGCAATCTGTAGTATGTAACTGCAGTGCAAAGATATGAGTTTATTAACTCCACTTATTTTTGTGGCAGTGGTATCTGGATTCCAAGACAAACTGAGCAGAAGTACATTTTTGGCAATGAAGATAGTTTGCATGTATGTATTTCAACTTCCCAGTTTGCCTGGATGTTCCCTTTATCCACTTCAGCTCTAGAAGGTTCTACCCCAGTCGTGACCAGGCCATTTTTTGCTATTCATCACTGTGCTACTTTACTTGGTAATTGCCAGGTCATGCAACGCTGTGCTCAAACAAAATTCCTGTCATTTTTTTCACACAAATAGAGCTTTCTTATGGTGGTATTTGATCAGCACTGTTTTTTTTTTATTTTTTAATATATTAACAAAAAAAAAGGACCCAAACTTTGGAAAAACACAATATTTTTTACTTTCTGCTATAAAACATCCCAAAAAAATCTAAATTCTTCATAAATTTAGGCCAATATGTATTCTTCTACATGTTGTAGTTAAAACAAAAACTACAATGGGTGTATATTAATTGGTTTGCATGAAAGTTAGACTGTCTACAAACTATGGAATATATATTGGGAATTTTAAAAAAGTGTTCCTTTTTGTGTGCAAAGCTGTCTGTTTGACTGTTCTATGCTTTTAATAAAAACATTGGAGTTTAAAAAAAAATGATACTGGTAATGGCGGTGATCAGCGACTTACAGTAGGACTGTGAGGCAGGCAATCTGATACTAACTGACACTGGGTGGGAATTGACTACTTGACACTGACATCACCAGTGACACTATTTCAGTGATCAGTGATAATACTATACACTGTCATGGAAGGGAT